TTCACTTTTAATAAAAAAAAAAAAATCACTTGGGCCTGCCTTTTTCCCTCCTCGTGGAACTTCTGCATTGCATTTGTTAATACAAATAGCAAGTGAACTATCTAACTCTGAAACTTTGAAATAGTCCCATACTACCGACGACATGATTGTTTACTGTCCTGGCTTCACGGCCGCACACCATTTACGTCACAGCCAGGCATGAGTTAGGGAGCGCTGGATTTGTGAAAAACTCCCCTCTTGCTAAACCACTAATACCACAGTACTGGCAAAACGGGAGGAGCCGAGTGAAAAACAAGCGCCCCTCATCCCAATCCACCCACACCGCAGTATGTTTTTCTTTTTTTTACCCAAAAAAAATTGTATATTATCTGGGCTATTAATACTGGTATCGGATTTATCGGGATGACGTCATAATTCCTAATATCGGGCCGATAATTATCGTGCACCACTAATTATATACATTATATTTTTATTTTACCAGGATGCAGTGACACAAATATTTGGGAAGGCTTAGCCTTCCCTAGCCTACAGTACCCGCCGCCCCTGACAATGCTTTTGTTTTTCTAATTTAAGTTCTACATCTTGTTTAGTGACCAGCAGAAGTTTGTGGTGATACTTGGCAGCTTTTACAAACAGATGTGTTATTGTATAGATAGAAAGGTGTTGGAAAGAAGATGCAAGCTGAGCCAAGCATGCAATGATAACTAAAGTCTGAAGGTTAAGAAACGAATAAATCATGTAACCTGTCTGGAAAGACTCCATTCTCTGTGCTCACACACTTCTCACCTCTGCCCGTTAACTGATCCTGTGGCCAGGGCCATGGGAAGTAGGGGTGCTGAGGGTGCTGCAGCACCCCCTGGTGGAGGACAGGGGATCTGCACTTCCACAAGATTAAATACAAATATAATACAAAATAAATAAATGAATTTTCAGCCTTGATGTAACAACATTCATAATTAAGTAAAGATAACACCCTTTTCACCCCGGTTACATTTTCCATTTGCCCCGTACGATGGGCGCTGTAAGTGATGAAAGTGGGCGATGTTGGCTTATCAGGCGCCCGCAGCTCACAGCCAAAGTGAGAGAGAGAGAGATAGATAGATAGAGAGAGGGGGGGTGCACCAGTACTGGCAGGGAATGTTGTTAGCTTCTGCTGCGCTAACGGATATAAGAAGCTGTTTCTACAATAATGTGGAGGGAGAGCTCTCCTGTCAGACTGAGAGGCTCAGTGAGGTAAAGGACTCTGAGGGTTTAGATAGTTCACTTTAGTTATCTCAGTGGGTCTCAAACGTGTTGATCACAATTTATGTAAAGACATATTTCCAAGGCACTCCTTTATAATTATTAGGATAAATAAAAACAGGTTTGAAATCATTCCAATGTATACTATAGGACAGTAAACCAAAAATATTGTTTTGAAAACTGGAGAGATTTAAAATATGCATAAATAAATAAATGTTAACTGATAAAATAAGATATAAATGAACCACAAAAATAAAACAAGTTAGCCTACATTTATTTTTTATTGGCTATGGTAGGTTATCGGTTATGTTCACATACTTATTTGATGAAGTGAAGTCCACCCCCCAATTAAAACATGTTCATGCAATACTAAATACATTTGAAGCCTTTTTATATAAGCTGTCCACCATGTCAATATGTTTCTCTGTTTGTAGTGTATTGGTCATAGAGGTTTTTCATTGCCAGCTAAAATCTTGCCGGGCAGCAAATTGGTCAAAACCGGCCCTGGTGTCATCCCCACAGCACCCCCCATTTGAAACATGTACCCATGGCTATGCCTGTGGCTAATTGTTTAGAGCGCGTGTGGTTAAGTTGCTGGTAAGGTAGCCCTCAGGATTGTATGTCAGTGTCATCTTACTCAGGCACCAGAATAAGAAAACTCCGTCATTTTGGTTACCGGTTCGCTGACTCACGAGGGAGGGAATATCTCAGCTCGATTTTCAGACTGAGCTCGTGAAACGGCTGTTGTTTGAAATGAATAAAGATGTGCTGTATCTTTTTAAAAAAAGTTGTGTTTATTAAAAAAGCACAATACATATACTTCCGTTGTGTAAATCACCTGGGTATTATTCCTGTCACGGATGAACCCAGGAGCTTTTGACTCCCTCTCTGCACACTGTAAAGCACTCCCTTGTGTTCCCCCCCCCCCCTCCATACCTTACCTACCCATCCCCAACCTTACAACACTGCACTAAAAGCTGCATTGAATACAGTGATCATCTGTCTTCTCATTTACAGGTGATTAATCATACTCTTACTACAGTATTTACAGAACATATATAGTTGATAACCATCGTCGAATTCAACACATCCAAGTCTTTCATATTATAATCAGCAGTGCCCAGTGCCTATAAAGCTTAAACTTGATACAGTGATGGCGTTTTAAAAAAAAAAATCAGTAGTAAACATTAAGGCGCCAGAACTGTATAAAAAGTATATAATTGCATACTGATTGTAACAATAACTTTTAGCGTGTTGACCTTACAAAAGACTAAGAACACTATTTCTGTGAAACATAATTAAAGGAGATTTTCACTTCAATGTCCTTTGCATGCTTTTTCAGTCTCTGAATAACAAAGCGTCTAATCAGAGATACTTAACATTAAAGGCAAAATCAAACACATCCTTCATCACGGAGTCTCCTTGTTTCCTTAGCTCTTTCCCTCATTACACCGTCAGTTTGGTGAGGCGAGCAGGTTTGTGATTCAATAATGTCTCTTCCTCCTTGACGTCCATTCAGACATAGTCTTTTCTTTCTATCCCTGGGCCACCTGCGGACCTAGGGGCAGAGTAAGCCATCCTTGAAGGGTTGTATCTGGTCTCACGAGGAGGACAGGAGCAGCAGAGCAATCCACCTCCGAGAATCAGGAGGGCAGCAGCCGCCCAGCCGATGTAGAGCGCGGCCCCCAGCTCCCTCCGCTGAGCGTCCGTGAGCAAAGGGTTGTAGAAGTCTCTGATTATGGTGTTCGCCGTCCAGGAGACAGGAATGAGCTGCATGACCCCGGAAACGATGAAGAACACCCCGGAGATGATCATCACCTTGGACTTGGAGGCCTCGTCCTCAATGCAGTTGGTGCACTTGGCCCCGGCGATGGAGACGAGCACCGCCAGGATGGCTAACAGGATGGAGATGATGGTGAGGGCGCGGGCCGCCTGGAGGTCCGGGGAGAGGGCCAGCATGGAGTCGTAGACCTTACACTGCATCTGGCCCGTGCTCTGGACCACGCAGGTCATCCACAGGCCCTCCCAGATGATCTGAGCCGTCACAATGTTGCTGCCAATGAAGGCTGTCACCCTCCACATGGGCAGGGCGCACGCTAAAATGGCAATAATCCATCCCAAAATGCAAAGGGCGATGCCTATCAACTCCAGCCCAATAGACATACTTAAAAAGTCTTCCTCTTCTGCCACACCTGAGAGGAGGTCACAGAAAAGTACCTGCAAAGGGGAAGAGTCAACCAGAGACCAAACTAGCAATTAACTTAATTTCAGGCCTCGCATCTGTGAGTGTGTGATGATCTGTTGCCTCAACGTCACCAGGATCCTTTATAAGGCTCAAGTGGAGGGGAGGAGTCCTTGAAGGAGTTGACATCACTAAAAAAGGAGGAAGGCCCTGGACACACTCTGAGATCAGCTTACATGGCTGGCTCCCAATGGGCCGGGCCACAAAGGGGCTTTTTACAGCTGAAAGGGCATGCAACCATTGAGTGTGTTATAAACAATGACAATTTACTAAGGTGGGTTAAGGCTTACTGTATGATTGAAAACGTGCAAATGACAGTAAACGTGACTGATTCAAATAGAATCTACCTTTACCTGAAAAACTCTTGTTACAGTCGGTGACGTAAGCTTCTTTGTACAGGTCTGATGATCTTTGCTTTTTGTTATTCAAATGTATAATATACAAAGAATGATTGACCTACATTGCTCAGTTACATCCTTCTACTCTCATTCTCTGGTCTAAAATGCCAGTGCTTCATGCTGTTAAAAAGACAACAAAACATCATGCTTTAAGCTTGACGGCAGTTTTAAAAAAACGTACAAAGAGGGTTTTAAGAGTTTTCATAAGACCAAGGATGGAAACCTTTTCAACTTTATGCACTAGTTCAGTTTAAGGATCACTTTAACACTTAGAGTTATGAGGCTTTCACCTGAGAGCAGTATTTTGTTTGATGGGCCTTAATGACTGTCTGTCTACAGAATGCCCTTGAAATTCTTCAGAGATGGGACTTTTTCCCAAAGCCCCCACCGCCCCAGTGTTGACAGCCCCCCTCCCACGAGTCTCCCCTTCTGAATGAAACAGTGCCATTGTTTTCAGGTAGTCGAGTGTGGGGAAGCTGACAAAGTAGCGGTTCTTGTTATCACAGAGCACACAGAGCTGGGAGACAGCCAGGTGGATTTATGTGCTGAGGAACAGACTCACGGTCGAGTGTGCAGGGTGCATGGAATCACAAATGATCTTTGCACCTGTCGATATGGAGATCAGATATTTTACCAAATCTCTAAACACTTAAATCTCTTTAAGTGTTTATATATATGTTCCTATGGGTGTTAGTTTGGTATCCAGAACCTACACTGAAAAAACTGAAACATTGACATTAATTAAATGTATTATGTCAACAGATTTCACATAACTATCAGGTTAGTTGAAAGCAATAATCTAAAGTTTACATTTTTTTTTTTAGGTTCAACGTTTCTGTTTTTTTAGCGTACCATGACCTTAAAACCAATTAAATATTTACTATGGGCACATTTATACTGTGAAATAAAGCAGGGGTTTTAAACCTGAGGGCTCATACCACCTAGGAGGTGACAATAGAATTCAGGGCATTGTTGATGAACATGACAAAAAAAACAACAGAGAAGTTATTAATAAACTTCAAAATACCATATTTTTCAGCTGCTCACCCTTAATAACGATAAGGAGACAGAAAACCTAAACCAATATATTTGTCAAACATTTAAATGATCAAGACAACTTAAATACAAAAAGGCCTTTAATTTAAAATGGAACATGTTGAACATTGAAACATTTCAGATTAACTGATTTACACACTGAATACATTCCAAAATGAAATGACTTCATGACACGTTTACTTGAACTTCCTTGTCAATACACATACACAACCAATACAGTGAAAAACAATAAAGAAGTACAAATGCAGATTCATGTATTTTCTGAATTCGGATCACAAATTATACAACTATTTCCATAGTATAAAATACAGGCTACACAGCATCACTAACCAAGTTGTTAGCCTCCAACAGCATCAAAGTAACACACACACGATTTAATAAAGGCAAACATTTTGAAGTCAGGCTCTGTTCTAAATGGCATATAGTGGCATGAAAATAGTTTTCACCATCTCAACATTAAGAAAAATGTGTATAAGTTATAAACAAATTGGAGCTCTCTCCAAGCAGTCTTTTCCATGATGGCGAAGTTGTGAGAAAGAGCAGGTGTGAGTTCAGACATAGTCCCTCCTATCGTAGCCACTTGGGGCCAGAGACCTCGGCTGGGAGTACATCACCTTTGATGGAGGCCCGTACCTTTTCTCAGGTTGTTGGGGGCAACTGGAGCAGAGAATCCCCCCTCCGATGAGCAGGAACGCGGCAGCAGCCCAGCCCAGGTACAGAGCCCCCCCTATCTCCCTCTTCTGGGACTCAGGTATGATTGGACTGTAGAACTCCATGATGATGGAATTGGCTGACCAGGACACAGGGATCAGCTGGGTCAGAGAGGCCAGGATGAAGGCCACCCCGGCAGCTATCATCACCCGAGCCTTGGCCGACTCGTCATCCACACAGTTGGTGCATTTTGCCCCCATAATGGCTACCATGATTCCCACAATGCCCAGCATGATGGAGATGATAGTAAGAGCGCGGGCGGCCTGGAGGTCTGCAGTGAGAGCCAACATGGAGTCGTGGATTTTACACTGCATCTGACCTGTGCTCTGGACCACGCAGTTCATCCAGATGCCTTCCCAAGTGGTCTGCGCTGTGACGATGTTCACCCCGATGAATGCTGACACTCTCCACATGGGCAGGGCGCAGGACACAATGGCTGAGATCCATCCCAGGACAGCTAGACCCACTCCAAGTATCTCCAGTCCCACTGAAGGCATGTCGTGAATCTTTGAGTCAAAGTGAGCAGAAGTCTTCTCGATGTCAGTATTTCAGAGGTGGACAAAGTGAGTTTTCTGTGGAGTTCTGATTGCTCATATAAGCAGATTTCTTTAGCACAGAGGGTGGAGTCACCTGGTTATTGGCCGGAGGGGAATTCAAATCGCCTTCAGTCCCACCTCGCCTCGACGTACAAAAACCCAGCCTTGGCATGTAAACGGCCTCAGTTTAATCATTCAACTTCCTCTCCCCCGGTAGCTCCCCCATCTATTTGGGTGAGTGGAGAGTAAACAGAGAGCCTGTATCTCAGGTCTGGAGTAGTTAACGGATAACAGCCGGTAAATAATGTTGGATGAATGATTGAAAGTGGAAGACACAATTTCAACTCCCACAGGTTTCTCATTGCACTCTTCTCTGAAAGATCCTCAGTCAGTTGTTTAGCGCAAATATAATGATTTGTTTTAGGGGTTTTGTTAGTAAGCAGCTAAGGGATTGTTGTTATTAGATGTACTCAAAGGTGGGAAAAGTACTCAGATCTTGTATTAAGTAAAAGTAGAAGTGGTAGAGTGTAATACTCTGTTACAGTAAAGGTCCTGCATTCAAAATGTTACTCAAGTAAAAGTACAAAAGTATCAGCATCAAAATATACTTAAAGTAGTCATTGTGCAGATTGGTCAATTTCAGAATAATATATAAGATATGTTTTATAATTGCATTAGTGTTATCAAAGCTGGTAAAGGTGCAGCTAGTTTGAATGACTTTGTATACTGCAGGGTATCTCACTAGATGTTCCTGGAATCAACCCGGTATCACGGCAAGACGTGAAAATGTGACGATTTACCACGCTGGGAGACGTGAAGATGTTACGATTTCGTCCCTTCAAACGTGACAGTTACACTATTGTTAACATGACCCACCAGTGCAGAAATACCCGGATGTTGGCAAGCCTCTATCACAACTTTTGGTTCACTATAACACACATTTTTGTGGAGAATACGACGATTTTTTCAGTTCCCAGCGTGGTAAATCGTCACATTTTCACGTCTTGCCGTGATACCGGGTTGATTCAGTCAGCATAAACACAAACTTCAAATAACTCCAGGAGAACAGGATTCTGAATTGAAGGTTACTTGAAGCTCTTTAATATTCTTAAATTATTTTTTGTAAAACTATAACACACAAGAAAAATACATTTATGAGACAAGTACTCAAGTAGGCCTATGTTACATGACGAGTATACAGAAACACAACCTAAAGAACCATGCTATGCTAATGCTAGACTAGTTAGACAGCTTAGAAGGCTAACAAACTAATCGTTTTTATAGGTGAAGAGGAAACGAGAGTTTAGCAAAAATTATAACGGTGCTAAGCTAACAACGAGCTAATATGCTAACAGTGCTCAGTTAATGACAAGCTAATATGCTAACAGATTAATATTATTACGTTGTCATTCACATGAGGTGTTCGCTTAGGCCTAGTGGTGCAGATGCAGTTTAACATCACCTATTAAAGGTATGAAATACACAATCAAACGATGAAATAAACACTGTTCTACATTAATATAGTTTCAACTAACATATTTACTTACAGACAATGTGCTTAACAAGTCTCCAGAAGATGCTTGTGAATTTACTCCAGGTGTAACTAAAGTCTGATTTAAGAGTTGATTATATTTCACATCATTCATCCAGATCTGTAAAGTAACTAATGGTATTAAATAAATGTAGTTGAGTAAAAGTACATGATTTACCTCTGATTTGTAATACAAAGTAACTAAAAATGTAAATACTCAAGTAAAGCACTAGAACCTCAAAATTGTACTTAAGTACGGTAGCCTACTTGAGTAAATGTACTTAGTTACTTTACATTACATGTCACTTATTAGACGCTTTTATCCAAAGCGACTTACATACTCAATACTGTGGGCAATCCCCACAGGAGCAATTTGGGGTGAAGTGTCTCAGGGACACAACGACATGCTGACTGCAGTGGGGATTGAACCTGTGCTCCCCTGATCCGAACACCAATGCTCTAGCCACTGCGCCACACGCCTCCTTACTTTACATCACTGGATGTACTTGAGTTAAGTTTTGAGAGGGTTATCAACCATCTTGCAAGACAGGGAATAAAAACAGCAGCTGGCTTATAATAGTGAATGGCTTACAAATAATAAATTAGGAAGAAGATGTTTATACAACATTTTTTCTAAAATCTTTGGGAGAAACGATACTTCCAGTTAAATCACCTGACATATTTTTTCAAGCAGAGGTTTCTTTTGACACAGATATCAGAAGACATAATTATTCATTACATTTGATTTAGAAACCCCCATATGATAAAAGGTTACATCATGTTGTTGGGGTGTGTGCTGATATGTTTTAAACATAGCTTTTCCAAGCTGCCTAGGTTCCCATGGGAAGTTAAGGACAGAGACCACATGTGAGAACCGCAATGCAAACAAGACAAACAATAATGCATCTGCATGTGGAAGGGGAACATAGAAACATCTGTATTATTAGCATGCATTTCTCTCTAGACGTAGACACATTTCTAGAGATGATTCAAGGAAGCCAAAAAAAAAGAGAATCAGCCAGCGTGTTGGAATTTGAAACAATTGTCTGAGTGCGTGTGCACAAGGCTATTGGTGGGGGTGGTGGGGGTGTCTTATCAGCGCCCTTGCTCTGAAGGTCGTAGTGCATCAGAGGTTTTAACCACAATTTAACTTTTGCACGTGCCGTAGAAAAAGACCCTTCTAAACAGACACACACACACACACACACACACACACACACACACACACACACACACACACACACACACACACACACACACACACACACACACACACACACACACACACACACAGTCTGAATCTGCAGTTCAGTTAACAACAAATACATAATGAAAGTCTCTGCTTTACCAATGTGATGCAGTGTCTGTATTTAAAGGCATTTGATGGTTGTGTAAAACCCAACATCACTTCAGTTTCTGACTCACCACGACAAGGTTTCTTATATTGTCATTTTACAATACAGGGTTGCACAACATATTTGCGAATTTGAGTCCCTTAATACTACACAGGAGACCTTTTACTTGTGTCTGATTGTTAATCAGAACAAAACACTGGTTACTTCTGGTAACTCTCTTTGCCATGAGGTCTAAATGTTTGAAATTCCAGTGAAGTGGGAGCTGCTCTTACGGCAGAAAGTGTTTTCACCTCTGACCGGGTTCTTTTACCTTCTTATGAACACACGGCTGCACGGCTGGGCTCAGTAACACAATCCTGCCTGCAGGCTCTGAGCTCACTGAAGGGGGGGTATCAGGATATTTAGAAACCTATTCTTCTTGATCATTAACCTCTTCGAGGTCAAGAAGATGTTTTCAATCTGTATCTTTGTTTCTTGTAAATTATGAATTTCCCAATATCCATGCAAGTTTGTATCGATACATTGTAGTAAGAATATGTGAGAAGACGTTTGAATGTACCTGAACAAGAAATGAAAGTGTAAAAGTCTCCTGACCGGTTTACTCTTTGACAGATGTAAAAAGGAGATACGTTGTATAGTGTGAAATTAAAGCAAGGATTCTTTTACAAAAAATAAGAATCTTTAAGAATGTGACTCTTAAAAATAATGCACTTTTGTTAATGATTTTAACTTTTTTCTCCTACCAATATACTTCACAATATACCTTTAGGTATTAAAAATGTACAACTGGTAGAATAGGAAGTATTTTGTAAGCAAAGGTGGGAGAAGTACTCAGACCTTGTACTTGAGTAGAAGTACCAGAGTGTAGGAATACTCTGTTAGAAGTCAAAGTCCTGCAATCGAAAAGTTACTCAAGTAAAAGTACATAATAATTAGTATCAAAACATACTTAAAGTACCAAAAGTAAAAGTCATTGTGCAGATTGGTCCATTTCAGAATAATATATATGATATGTTTTATAATGATTGATCATGAAAGTGTTCTCAAAGCTGGTAAAGGTGCAGCTAGTTTGAATGGCTTTGTATACTGCAGGGTAGCTTGTGGATTTACTCCAGGTGGAACTAAAGTCTGATTTAACACTTGATTAGATTTCACATCATTCATCCACATCTGTAAAGTAACTAAAGGGATTAAATACATGTAGGTGAGGAAAAGTACATGATTTCCCTTTGAACTGTAGTGGAGTAGAAGTACACAGTAGCATGGAAATAATTAAGTAAAGTACAAGTATCTCAGAAGTGTACTTAGGTACAGTACTTGAGTAAATCTACTTTACCTACTTTACACCAATGTTTGTAGGGAATTGATTCTGACTCTAAATGGTTTGTGACACCTCAGATGTGACAGTGGGCCTGCTGAGGTGTTTCCATCTTTCTCCAAATTCAACTGTTGCATTATTATTCCTACAGAACATGCTTTCGGTTTGTCTTCTTTTTTGTTTCAGGTGACTCTTTGAAAATGTAGAAACACTTTCATTACAGTGAGTCCCACCCGTGGTAAACAGTTGGAACCCCTCGGATCAATGGGGTCTTTGTGGCTCAGACTCGGTTACAGTGGAGGTTACCTCCCCTTGCAGAGGGAGACTTTTATCTCTGACTCAGTTTCACCTGCGAATGGAGAACAGGCTACAATGGAAGGGTAGCATAAGGTGCTCCTATGAAACAAGCCACCCATTGTGTCTGTCCATCTACATTGAAATAAAATACCTCTTATTGGTCAGACTCGGCTGAACTCAGCTGGCACCTGCCCCTGTCTTCGTATAGTAAGAAGTTGTGCATAGTTGCTATGTTACACTTCATTTGAGCATTGAATTCTGACTTGGCATGAAAGCACAGGGTTATAAATGGAATCTCCACTGCGAAGAAGGCTTTAGTAAATTCTTGTAAATTCTTCTTTTATAAAAAAAACTTGCTTTAATTAGTTGTAATTTAGATAAACATGTACATTTAAAATCAGACATCATCATAATCTTAGAAAAAGAACCACTAAAATGTATAAATATTTGAAATAAAATATTAAAAGCAATTTAAGATGCCCACCTCTACAGAAAAAAAAAAAATCAAAAACACATATAAAACATGTTTTATAGCATCAGTGGTTCGTACTTAATGCCAAAGCCCATGATAGCATTAACATCCGTCTGCTGTAACACGAGTCATCTTATGTTCATCTGCGACATGTCACACGTTCATACATAGTCTCTTCTGGGGTATCCATTGACGGACATAGTCTTGACAGCTGAGTAGTCCACCCGATGGGGCATGGAGCCACCAACAGTCGCTGCTGGAGCTGGGCAGGAGCAGCAGAGCAGGGCTCCCCCCAGGATGAGGAGGCAGGAGGAAGCCCAGCCAAAGTACAGAGCATTACCAAACTCCCTCTTCCCCGTCTCCTCCAGCATGGGGTCGTAGAAGCCCAGTACGATGGCGTTGGCTGTCCAGGACACGGCCACCAGCAGCAACAGCCCCGCCACCACGAAGGTCACTCCAGCAGCTACCATGAGCCGCGGTTTGCTGCTCACGTCCCGGCTGCAGTTGGTGCACTTGGCCCCAGCCACCGACAGGCCGATGCCCACTATAGACAGCACCATGGAGACAATGACCAAGGCACGAGCTGCCTGCAGGTCCACCGGTAGCCCCAGCATGGATTCGTGCACCCTGCAGTGCATCTGTCCCGTGCTCTGCACTGAACAGTTCATCCACAAGCCCTCCCAGATCACCTGAGAGATGACAATGTTCTGCCCGATGAAGGCAGCGACCCGCCACATGGGCAGGCCGCAGGTCACCATCACCCCCAGCCAGCCGGCCACGGCCAGGATCATCCCGAGGATCTCCAGGCCTGCAGAGTACATGGTTGGAGCTGGGGATGAAGAAGAAGCGGAAAAATACTCTCTTCCAGGGCTCGGTGGGATAGAAGGCCCTCTGTGTCCGCTGGCTCAACCCTCCTGAGGTGAAGGCGATATCGGATCCCGTTGGCTCAAGGTCCTGCATAAGACTTTTAGTGAGAGAGAAAGGGAGAGGGAGAAACAGATTCTACCTTCTTTATACAGCTTAGACGAGTGAAGGTGGAGTCAGCTTAAGGTGGCATCGTGTTTACCTTCGAACTGGGCTTCCAAATGCGAAAACGTGATTATCTTTCAGTGTGATTTGGGGTCACGTGGAAAACCATCAGGATTCTTTCTGAATACCCATTGTCTTTACAAGTGTATGCAGTCTCAGAAATCAATAATATATTTATTATATATAGAATCTACAGACGAGTGTTGTACATTTACAGAACAAATATTTCCAAAACCATTTATACAGTTCTGATAATGTTATATATAAAGATGCTTATACCAGTGTTCCTTTTACATTTCTTGAATATAAGCGTATGTATCGGAGTATGTGACGTGCGACAACCTTGAAGGAAATGGCTGAATCACAATCTGAATGAGATCTTTGTGCCAGAAGAAAGAGTAACAATGACGGGCCTTGTCTTTTTTACTGGTCAGCCACATAATCCCTCCAGAGGGAAAAAAGGGACTAGATTTAAACGTACAGGCCACATAGTCATTGGACAGGTGTGCGTTTCTTCAAATGGAGTATATATGGTTAAATATTTATGAATACAAACCAAATGCACTTCCAATATCAGGCTGGTAGTGTATAACCTGATAGAGCAGCAGGTAATATACTTTTGAATCTTTATGGGCTTTACCATTGCAGACGTTAAACCATAAATAATATCCCAGGACCTGGTGGAAGGTCATCACTCTAACTAATCCTTGTAGTTTGTATCACCTTTTGTATAGCATCCTTTAAGGGGATTATCAATTGACAGAGAGCATATTCAGTTTTTAGGGTTAGGTTTAAGGGTTAGGGTTAAAGTAAGACACCACAATTAATCAAATAGTGCATATTCCCTTGATCTAACATTTCATTTATTTTTGATAACTTATAACTGTTCTTAACAAAAGAGGCAACAAATCTTAACAAAAAAGGTCCAGAAATGTCCAGTTCATGGAATAAAAGAAAGAGCATTACACCCTTCCCACCAACAAATCTATACATGAAAACTCTGACATACGCCAACGTTTTCTCATTTGCACTTTTTGTAAGGTAAGAACAGAATGTACGTAAACTCCAGAGCATATTTGCACATTTGAGTACAGATTTTTTTTTAATTTCAATTGTAATCAATGTTGACCCTTTTAAATCAAAATAACTCTACAGTAACACATCACCACTGACCAAGTAATAGCATACCATGCATCTAAATATTAAGCTCTTTTGGGGTTCACTTACTCTGTGTACCTCCACTTAAGAACTCTTTAGGTTGTTTTTGGCCATCCTTGACTTAATTATCTCTTTTCAGTTTCTGTGTACTCACAGCCGTGCAGTCTCGTCCATTTTATGGTGACTGGCAGTGTGTTTACCTGCTATTCAAGATTGACAGGCACATGCTTTCAATTTACGAGGACAATTAATCAATAAGTGAACACAAGAACGAAAAACTCTTAAAGAACAATTCAACGTAGACTTTTCTGAGGACCCTTCTCAAGATATGGATGAATGACGCCCATTGTCTTTTTATTTATCTAAAAATGGTATCATAGCTGTTCTGCCTTTATGTGAGTGTGCATGTTGTCATGTTGAACACTTAATGAATCAAAGACTACCCCAACAGGTGGGCCTATTCTCTCGGACATCTCGAATATCATGTTGTTTGATGGACAACAGGGCTGTTGAGGTCAGCTGATAGATGAGCTCTGTCATTACAGGCTTTCCTGTAATTACCAGAGGTCAGCGGGGGTCAGCGGTTAGGATGAGTGTCTCTGTTATCTTGTGGTTAACCCCCTCCACAGACACACATGTACACACAAACTCACCCTCACATTCTCACACACAGACAGATAGATTAGATTGAACTTTACTGTCATTGGACAGAGTACCGGGTCAACAACATGTAGGTAGCATCTAACCAGTGCAAAAGAAACCATCAAATACAGTGTAATGTATAGGTATAAGTGTACGTAATGAAAGTATATACATATGACAAATATAAAAAACATATTTAACGTCTGAACATTATATTTTAGTATAAACACTATGAAGAGTAGTATATATATTGAATCCAAGACATGTTTTACTATAAAATGATGCAGCAGTGCACTCTGGGATAGACATAGACTTAATGTATTCATTAGAACAGACTGTGATTGTTTATGTGAAATATACTGTAAGTGTATGTTTTTACAGGCAGGGGGAGCCACTCTTTCTCCTTGTTCAGTTCACTTTGTTACCAATCTGTACAGAACAAGGGTTAACTCCTTAACCCCCCCCACCCAAAAAACAGGTTGGTGGAGTCTGTAACATTTTTCAAACCTCTTGTTTTAAATTCTTTATCTGAGAGCTCTTCCTGATTTGACATTACCTATTATTTGTATATTTTTGTTTCTGCCTGGTTTTTAATTCTTGAATGAGTTTTTGATTAGTTTGTTCTTAAGATTCTGTAATGTCCTTATGATGTATTGATTTCATGTGACTTGCATGAAGCTTTTAACTGTATTTTGAGTTTTGAAAGTCTGTCTAAAAATCTCTATAATGATTATCAAATCAGAAAAGATCAATAATAATCAGGGTTGTTTTCTCCTTTTGGTTTTGATTTTCAATATTAGGGAGTTCATCAAGGAGCAGATCATTTATGTTTTTTTTAAACCTTAAGCATAAGAACACAGTTCAACTATGTGGATTACCAGATGAAACCAGACAAAACCAGTCACAGCATGAATTACAAAACAGACGTGATTAGTGGATTGGTGGTGGATCAAAAGTGCTGTTTTACAAAATGCATCTAAATACATTATGCAAATACACTATAAGTGGTTAAATCATGGGTCAAATCTAAAATAATCAGCACAATACCAATACAACTGATACAAAAAGCTGCTCCATTCTGGCAGGATTATTGCAGTCACGCCTCATCATGTTAAACCCTGTAATACAAAACAACATGCGTGCATTGCAGGCTGATAACATTCACACTAACTTTTTTGTTGGGATCCTGATATCTTACTCAATATAACACAACCACTCTGATGTACTTGGTTTCGTCTTGTCCTGACTATTGCAATCATCTTTGCACTTGTTTTTTTCATTAAGATTCTCTCGACTATTGCAAAACAAAGACTTTTACCCAACACACAGAATATTACGGCTGTATCACATCGTTGATATTAACTGTAATATTTGACATTTTAATCTTTCTATTAGGCTTCAGGTTTCTCGATTTGCTTGTTAAGGTCCTATTTTTCATGTAAGACCTAAGTTAAGTTTAAAATGTATTTTATTGTTTTCATCTTTTTTGTTCTCTAATGTGTGAAATGTTTGTGACTTTGATTCAGATGCAGTACACATAAACACAAGGGAAAACAAATACTGATTGTGTCTTGTAGGCAACAGAACAATGTGACCTTAGAAAAGAAGAAACAAAGATATTTAGAATCAAAGATTATTTCATTGGAAACCTGCCTTTCATTCAGCATGTTCAGGCCATAGCCAAGATACACCAACAATGCGTGAGCACATACTAAGAGTTTAAAACATCAGAAATAAAGTGTGAACTGACAGAACACGCTCCGTTTTAGTTTAATACACACAGTTAAGCTCACACACCATTTTATGAACATATACAACAAATGAAGATCATAAAGCAGATTCAGGCAGTATTCACATTCACACTTAAAGTATTCTCCTACAGAAAAGTACAGCTCTAAGAGAAGAGATAACATCTGATCCTTTACAACAAACACTATATGCTCTTTTTAAGTTTTTTACTAACTCTGTAGTCCTGATAGTAACCCTCATTTTTTTTAAATGTAACAGTAATCTGATTCCTTTTCAAATATAAATGTAAGAGAATACATTCACCTTTCTTTTTAACCCTGATTGCATAATCGCGTTACATGTAACCCGTTACCTCCCGATCCTGCTTGTGTGTCTTTTTTTTATGTGTAATTGCTAACGATGTGAATCAGTGTTATTTCTGTTATTGAAATATAGTTGAAAAGTACAAATGGGGACGCCATTCAAATAATGAAATGCAGTAGCAGACGAGGATCTGAATAAACATATAAATCAGATCTAATGCACATACATGTGGCTTGGTGGATGCACAACATTAATCTCTTAGTGACAGGCTATGTTGTGCCCTTTTTATCCAGACCAGACATGGCCATCATTTAGGGAGTTCACTAATTTGTTTTCGACAGGTGCAGCCGCTCGATAAGAAATAACCTGGAAATAAACATGTATCCACTCGCAGAGCACCTTGCGGAACATTCACCTGTCATGGGAACGGGAGCGAGTCGGACCGGTTTCCATCAGCCGGTGTCAACTGTGGGTTGTTGTTCCTCTGGGTTGTGAGCAATTCTGTATTCAATCCACAACTTTTTATTTCTTTTACATTTTGTTTGCCATTGTTCGTTTTTACCACTGATGTGTTTGTGCACTCTTCAAAAGAGCACAGTTCCCTTTCAAAGCCCTGTTGTGACGGATGATGAAAACCACATGTATTAGGAACATACTGAATCATTTCAAAATAAGGAAGCAAAAGTTGTTTCTGTTTTTTTTCAAATCCAACAATGCTTTAATCCCTTCCAGTGAACTACTAAAATTAACCTCACACACACGCAACTGCAAATTAACCTCACACACACACTATTGAAATCCTCTCACATTCACTAGTACTGAACACCTCACACACACACTGCTGAAAATTAACCTCACACACACACGCAACTGAAAACATTTTACTGAAAGGTTCTCAGTAGGGAATGTGCATGTGTTTCACCTATGTGTGTGAGGGGGATTCTTGCTGTAACGGAAGTCATTGTAATGAAACGGAAGTAACAAAGAACAATGCTGCAGTGATACAGTAGGTGGTGATAATTCTCGTCTACTCTGTTTGGAAGTCGCCATTAAAGAAGAACAATGAAACCGAAGGTCCAAT